GCCTCGGCGTCCATATCGTCTCGGTCGATCAGGGCCCGGGCGGCGGCCAGGGCGTAGGTCCCGCCGGAGCCGATGCCGACCAGCCCGTCCTCCGGCTCCAGCACGTCGCCGTTGCCGGTCAGCACCAGGGTGGTCTCGGTATCGGCCACCGCCATCATGGCCTCCAGCCGGCGCAGGTAGCGGTCGGTGCGCCAGTCCTTGGCCAGCTCGACGCAGGCGCGGGCGAGCTGGCCGGGATAGGACTCCAGCTTGGCCTCCAGCCGCTCGAACAGCGTGAAGGCGTCGGCCGTCGCCCCGGCGAAGCCGGCGATCACGTCGGCCGCCGCCTCGCCCTTGGCCGCGCCCTTGCCGTGCAGGCGGCGCACCTTGCGGGCGTTGGACTTCATCACGGTGTGGCCGAAGGAGACCTGTCCGTCGCCGGCGAGCACGACGCGCCCGCCCTTGCGCACGGAGAGGATCGTGGTGCCGTGCCAGGGCCCGGCCCCCGAGGACGCAGGAGAAGTGTCTGACATGCCGCAGAGATGGCGGCACCGGCGGGTGGGGTCAAGGAGAGACTGGCCGCCGCGTGACAGGCCGGGCCGATCCGGGTGGCGGCCGGGGCGGCCAAGGGCGCGGCGGGCGGCTCACCCCCTGGCATTGCGTCGGGCGGGCTGCTACATAGCCGGCTTTCGGGCCAGGGCTGGGCCCAGCGCGGCCGCCGGGCGCCTGCGCGGGACTGCACCGGCCCAGAGACCCGGCCCAGAGACCCGGCCCAGAGACTCGGCCCAGAATCTTGGAAGGACGCCCGACGATGCGCCGCGCCCAGGTGGACCGCTCGACCAGCGAGACCAGGATTTCCGCCGCCGTGAACCTCGACGGCACCGGAATCTACAACGTCTCGACCGGCCTCGGCTTTCTCGATCACATGATCGAGCAGCTCTCGCGCCACAGCCTGATCGACATCGAGCTGTCGGTGGAGGGCGACCTGCACATCGACGGCCACCACACCACCGAGGACTCCGGCATCGCGCTGGGCCAGGCCGTGGCGCGCGCCCTGGGCGAGCGCACCGGCATCACCCGCTACGCCGACGCGCTGATCCCGATGGACGAGACCCTGACCCGGGTGGCGCTGGACATCTCCAACCGCCCCTACTTGATCTGGAAGGTGGAGTTCACGCGCGACAAGCTCGGCGAGATGGACACCGAGCTGTTCCGCGAGTGGTTCCAGGCCTTCGCCTTCAACGCCGGGCTGACCCTGCACGTCGAGACGCTCTACGGCCTCAACAACCACCACATCGTGGAGTCCTGCTACAAGGGCCTGGCGCGGGCGCTGCGCAAGGCGCTCGAGATCGACCCGCGCAAGGCCGACCAGGTGCCCTCGACCAAGGGCACGCTCTGACCGGCGGCAAGGTCCGGCGTCCTCCCCGCGGGTCCGCGGGCCCGCGAAAACCACAACCCTCTCTTGCATAAACCTCAAGGCGGGGTAGCATGACGCCGAGGGCGACGGCTGCGGCCGCGCACGGGGCCGGCAAGGGAGAAGGCCGGCGAGGGAGAAGGCCGGCATGCTTCTTGCCGAGGCCATGGAAGAGGGGTTCGGGCGACTGCTGCCGGCCGAGGCCGCCTGGCTCGAGGGCGTGGAGGCCGGCACCGGACTCGACGGCCTGGACGGCGAAACCGACCGGCGCATTCGCGTTCGGCTGATCGCCGCGCTGTGCCGCGATCAGGCGCTCGCCGCCCGCGTCGGGCCCGGCGGCATCAACCTGCAAGAAATCGATCTTGTCGAGGGCCACCTGGACCTCAGCGACCTCACCCTGGCCTGGCCGCTGCGGCTGCAGCACTGCCGTATCCGTCTGGACGGCGCGCAAGCCGGTGACCTGCTGCTCAAACACCTGCGCGCGCCGCGGATCGACATCTCCCACCTTGCCTGCCGCCACGCGAGCCTCGTGGGCGCCCGGCTGGGCGGCGACCTGATCGCCGTCGGCGCCACCTTCGATCGGGGGCTGCACCTCTGCGACGCCCGGATCGAGGGCGACCTCGACCTGCGCCGGAGCCGCATCGGGCCGATCGCCCCGAAGATCGGGGAGGAGCACGACGAGAGCAACGGCGAGCGCAGCCATGACTACACCAGCCGCGACCGCGCCATCATGGCCGACCGCGTGCAGGTCTTCGGCCGGGCGATCCTGAACGCGGCCGAGGTGACCGGCGGCATCTACCTGCGCAACGCCCGGATCGCCGGCGTCGGCCTGCTCAAGCAGTTGACGCTGGTCGCGCCGAGGGGACCGGCGGCGAGCTGGGAAGGCTCGCGCTGGGAGGCCGGGCTGCACCTGGAAAGCAGCAAGATTCGCGGCGGCGTGGACCTCTCGGATGCCACCGTCAGCTCCAACCTGTCCTTGATGGCCTCGCTGCAGCCGCCCGAAGCCGAGGCCGCGGGAGACATCTCCTTCACCGCGCTCGGCCTGGAGGTCGACGGGGATCTCTACGGCGAAGGGCTGCGCAGCGCGGCGCCGCTGAAGCTGCTGGGCGCCCGGATCACCGGCGACCTGCATCTGATGGACAGCCACATCGGCAGCGGCCAGGCCAAGACCCCGAACGATCAGCCCACGGCGCTCGACTTCACCGGCGCCTTCATCGGCGGGACCCTCAGCCTGGACGGCGCCATGCGGGTCGAGGGAGCGACGTCGCTGCAGACCGCCCGGATCGGAGGCCGGCTGCTGGTCGAGGGGCACTACGCCGCCGAGCGACTGGCGCTGATCGCCGACGGCCTGTCGGTCAAGGGCTTCGCCCGCTTCGGCGAGGCGCAGATCCACGACGGCGCGGACGAGGAGGCGCCGCGCCCGGACGCCGAGGAGGAGGTAAAGGACGGGGCACAGGAAGAAGCCGAAAAGGCGCGCGCCAAGGGCCCGGCCGCGCCGGCCTGGACGCCGAAGCTGAGCGTGCGCGGCGGGCTGAAGCTGGAGAACGCGCGCATCGGCGGCCTGCTGTCCTTCGCGGACTTCCGGCTCGAGCCGGGCACGAAGCCGGGCTTTCGCGTCGGCGCCGCCGGGCGCGCCAGCGACTTCGTCGTGCTCAGCCTGAAGGGCGCGGAGATCGGCAGCGACCTCTACTTCCGCGGCCCGGCCCGGGTGGAGGGCACGATCTGGCTGCTGGGCACCCGGATCGAGCAGGACCTGGAAATCTCCGGCCTGCTGCTGCAACGCTCGCCGCTGGCCGAGGAGACCGACAAGCACCACCACGTGGTCTTCAACGCCAGCCGGGCCGAGGTGAAGGGCGAGTTCCGCTGGTTCCGTGGCCGCCTGCCACACGGTTTCGAGGACAGCTTCTGGTGCACGCAAGGCGCCGTGCGGCTGTCGCGCATGACGACGGCGCGCCTGCGCGACGACTTCCAGACCTGGCCGGTCGAGCCCTACCCGATCCACCTCGACGGCTTCGCCTACGGCACGATCCACACCGACCGGAACGCGCGGGCCCGGGAGAGGCTGGGCTGGCGCGCGCGCTGGGCCGTGGTCTGGTCGCTGTGGCGTGGCCGGAGGCCACCGGCCGTCAAGGTGGGGCGGCAGCGCCGCGCCCTGGCGGCGGAGGAGTGGCCGCGGCTGCACCGGCAGGCCAAGCACCGCTACCGCCTGCCCGGCCTGCGCAGCCTGGTCAACGGCCTGAAGTACGGCTTCGGCGTGGGGACGATCAGCCTGCTGCCGCAGTCGCGCCTGCTCTGGCTGGAGCGGCAGTTCCGCACCGGCCACGGCCGCCGGCGGGATCTGGATCGCGGCACCGACCGGCTGAATTTCCAGCCCTTCGACCAGCTCGAGCGCGTGTTCCGCCGCATGGGCCTGGAGAACGACGCCCGCACCGTGGCGATCCGCAAGCAGGTGCGCATCACCCGGATGTACCGCGACCGCCCGGTCGCTAGGTGGTGGCGCTTCTTCGCCGGCGTCACCGTGCGCTACGGGTACCAGCCCTTTCGCGCCGTGCTGCTTCTGATCCTGCTGCTGGCCGGCAGCACCGCGGTGTTCAACGACGCCTATCACAACGACGCGGTCTACCCGACCCTGGCGAAGTTCCAGATGCACACCCGCGACGACGGCCCGCCCGGCCTGGCCGACACGCTGCTGTGGTCGGGTGCCCAGTCGGTGGCCGACCCGGCCATGCTGAGCGGCAAGGTGATGCCGCCGACCTATCCGCGCTTCGACCCGCTGGTCTTCGCGGTCGACACGGTGATCTCCCCGATCAGCCTGGGGCAGCAGGACTTCTGGTACCTGCGCAGCGACGAGGTGGGGGTGTACGAGGCCTGCGCCTTCTGGTCGCTCGATTGCACCAGCGTCTACCGCGCCTATTTCTATCTGCACGTTCTGCTGGGTCACCTCCTGGTGATCCTGATCGCCCTGTCGCCCACCTCGCTCCTGCGGCTGGACTGATCCGGGGATCTTCCCTGGACAGGCGCCGCCGTAGGCACTAATCAGCGCGCATCATGACCATCGCGATCGTCGATTACGGCTCGGGCAACCTGCGCTCGGCGGCCAAGGCGCTGGAGCGGGCGGCCCGCGAGAGCGGGCAGCCCGGCGAGGTGCTGGTCACCAGCGATCCGCAGGCCGTCGCCGCGGCCGAGCGCGTGGTGCTGCCCGGGGTCGGCGCCTTCGGCGACTGCCGCGCCGGGCTGCACGCCCTGCCCGGCATGGTCGAGGCGCTGGAGGAGGTGGCCGGCCCGCGCGCGCGCCCGCTGCTGGGCATCTGCGTGGGCATGCAGCTCTTCGCCAGCCGCGGCCTGGAGCACGGCCGTCACGCCGGCTTCGGCTGGATCCCCGGCGAGGTGGTCAAGCTGACGCCACGCGACCCGAGCCTGAAGATCCCGCAGATGGGCTGGAACGAGCTGGTGCTGCACGACGCCGCGCACCCGGTGCTGTCCGGCCTGCCGGTCGGCGCCCATGCCTACTTCGTGCACAGCTATCACCTGCGCGCCGAGACGCCGGCCCAGGTGCTGGCCGAGGTCGACTACGGCGGCCCGGTGAGCGCGGTGGTCGGGCGCGACACGCTGATCGGCACCCAGTTCCATCCCGAGAAGAGCCAGGCCACCGGCCTGAAGCTGCTCGCCAACTTCCTTGCCTGGAGGCCCTAGAGTCCGCCGTGCCCGAAGGCCAGAGCGTCCCCCGCCAGATCGAGCGCCTGACCGATTTCCAGGCCACCGACCTGCACGACCTCTGCGACGCCGCCGAGGCGGCGATCGTCGACGGCGGCGGCTTCGGCTGGCTGGCGCCGCCGCCGCGCGAGATGATGGAGACCTACTGGAAGGGCATCCTGCTGGTGCCCGAGCGCGACCTCTTCGTCGCGCGGCTGGACGGCACGATCTGCGGCTCGGCCCAGCTCCTGCGGCCAACCCGCAACCAGGAGGCCTCGGCCGCCGTCGGCCAGCTCAGCACCTTCTTCCTGGCGCCCTGGGCGCGCGGCTACGGCCTGGCCGTCGAGCTGGTCGAGCGGGTCGCGCGCGGCGCCCGCGAGGCCGGCCTGGAGGTGCTGCAGCTCGACGTGCGCGAGACCCAGGCCCGCGCCATCCAGATCTACGAGCAGCTCGGCTTCGCGCGCTGGGGCAGCAACCCCCGCTACGCCCGGGTCGACGGCCGCTGGATGACCGGTCACTACTACTACTGCGACCTCAATCGCGAGCCCAAAGCGGACGGCGAGACGTCATGATCCTCTTCCCCGCCATCGACCTCAAGGACGGCAAGGCCGTGCGGCTGCTGCGCGGTGCGCTGGACGCCGCCACGGTGTTCAACGAGGACCCCGCGGCCCAGGCGCGCAGCTTCGCCGGCGCCGGCTTCGAGTGGCTGCACATCGTCGACCTCAACGGCGCCTTCGAGGGCCGGCCGGTCAACGCCGACCCGGTCCAGGCGATCCTGACCGCCACCCGGCTGCCGGTGCAGCTCGGCGGCGGCATCCGCGACATGGCGACCATCGAATACTGGCTGGAGCTGGGGGTGACCCGGGTCATCCTGGGCACGGTGGCGCTCAAGGACCCGGCGCTGGTGCGCGCCGCCGCCAAGCGCTTTCCCGGCCGCATCGTGGTCGCGGTCGACGCCCGCGGCGGCCGCGTCGCGGTGGAGGGCTGGGCCGAGGTCAGCGAGACCAAGGCGGCCGACCTGGGCAAGTCCTTCGAGGACGCCGGCGTCGCCGCCCTGCTCTACACCGACGTCGACCGCGACGGCGCGCTGGAGGGCGTCAACCTGGAGGCCACCGGCGCCCTGGCCGAGGCGGTCGAGATCCCGGTGATCGCCTCGGGCGGCGTCGCCTCGATCGACGACCTGGCGGCGCTGCTGCCGCTCGAGGAGCTCGGGGTGAGCGGCGTGGTCTGCGGGCGCGCCCTCTACGACGGCCGCATCGACCCGGCCCAGGCACTGGCCCTGCTGGCCGGCACGCCCGAGGAGGGCCTGGGGCCGTGATGAAGCTGCGCGTCATCCCCTGCCTCGACGTCAAGGACGGGCGGGTGGTCAAGGGCGTCAACTTCGTCGACCTGCGCGACGCCGGCGACCCGGTCGAGCAGGCCAAGGTCTACGACGCCGCCGGCGCCGACGAGCTCTGCTTCCTCGACATCACCGC